CTATTACTTTGTTCATACTGTTGTAGTAAAAACCATTTAGAACCAAGCTAACAACAAGAGATTAAACAACCACCTTGCGGGGTCATACCAAAGAGCATCCCCACCCTTCTACTCAATCTTTGTGACATCTCATTAACCAGATTAACAGAATTAATGAGCAAATATTTATCCAAATATAAATTAATGGAGATAGATCAGGCTAATTAAAATTTCTTTCCCAGAATAGCCAGGACAAAGTTTTCTGTGTACAAATATAATAAAACCATCAGGCGCAGCTTAATATAGATGCATTTAATGTTATATGGTGTATTTTGGTACTGCTTCCAAAACTCTTGTGGAGAGGTTTTATAGCGTTTTGCCCACGGAACAACAGTGGTTTTGAGTTTTCCAAGGTCTGTTTTTTTCCTGTTTGTGATACATCCATTATAGCAACTGCATCCAGATGCGTCAGGATAGCATAAAATGATATAAAAACAGACATTTGGCTTTAAATAGATTTATTTGGTGATGTGGTGGGTGGACTGGAAGCAGAGTAATCCTGTGCATAGGTCATGGGAGATCTGGGTTCTATTCCCAGTCACTTCAGTGAATCACTGCATTACTTTGCCAGGCAAACCCATATGTTTAAACCTGGGTGCCCAAATCATTATTTGACACCCAGAAAGCGGTATCTCTTGTAACAGCAAAAAAACTACTAAAACCTTCCATCTGTCTCTGGCCTTCTACGCAGGGTAATGGGTAGGAAGGGAACCACTGCACTCATTTGGGCTCCAAATGACCAGGTTTTGCTGGCTATTTCCAAGAACACATGGATAGTTTCTCTGTTGTTTTGCGCTCCGGTGGCTTCTGCGCCAGGGCACAAGGAGTGAATCAACACCATCAAATGCTTTAGCTACTTAATTTACTCAGAGTCGTTATCCATGTGCCTACTTGGAATTCCATCCTGTGCCCTTCTGCAGGAAGTCAGTATGTTCTCTCTGGAAAGAAACCCAGGTTGCTTTTCCATGGTAATATCTCTAGACAGACGCAATCAGAGTAGATGAGTCCCAGCCAGATCTCCTGTGCCTGGACTCTTCCTCCAATGCTACTCCAGTTGTCCCTATGCCATGTTCACGTGCATCCCTGCTATCATGCCCTAGGAATGACGTTCCTTCAGGCTGCAACACAAGCCTAATGTTATTGCTGACACTCTGAACTGGAAAAGAAGAAGAAATCACGTTTGAGGACTGCTAAGCAACGCTATCATTTGCCTTGGAAAGCAATGGGCTTGCCTTCACTGCAATGCTTTAAGGACAGTCTTGGAAAACAGATCAGGAATGCTCTGGGGCCAAATGATCTTTCCATAAGAAAGAGAAAACCCTCCCATCCCCATTTTTATAGGAAGCAGGTATAGTGAGGACTTTCAGACTCTCTCATTGTGTTGTGCTCTACTGCACACCCAGCACGAGACACAACCCACACCAGAGTTATGTGAGTAATTAGAATTCCATCTCTTGTTGAACAGCCAGCTGCTTAAAGAGTCCCATTAGCCACAGAAGCTGTTAATTGTGTTAAAAGTCCTGGTGATGGCATCCTGTGATTAGAGATGTGTCTCACAAACCTGAGAGTGAGCTAAATTGTTCAGCTGATCAATAGACTGTAGAGGTATTGGGGGGTTTGAGCTGATGTAAAGCATCTTTGTAGATTATTTAAGCATAAAGAAAAGGCTGACAATGTTTGGCACATACATAGGCCCTGTTATTTAAAATTATTGCTTATTGCAGCATCTCAACCACAATGTGATAAATATTACTTCTGTGTGACTGCTAGCATCATCAATTAATAGAATCATAGAATCCCAGACTGGTTTGGGTTGGAAGGGACCTTAAAGCTCATCCAGTGCCAACCCCTGCCACAGGCAGGGACCCCTTCCACTAGAGCAGCTTGTTCCAAGCCCCTGTGTCCAACCTGGCCTTGAACACTGCCAGGGATGGGGCAGCCACAGCTTCTCTGGGCACCCTGTGCCAGCGCCTCAGCACCCTCACAGGGAAGAGCTTCTGCCTTATCTCCAACCTGAACTTCCCCTGTTTCAGTTCAAACCCATCACCCCTTGTCCTGTCCCTACAGTCCCTAATGAAGAGTCCCTCTCCAGCCTCCTTGTAGCCCCCTTCAGACACTGGAAGCTGCTCTGAGGTCTCCCTGCAGCCTTCCAGAATAGTTTCCAACATAGTGGAAACTATTCTGCAGGGATGTGTGCAGACTCACACAGACATCGGTGACGGAGCCAGCGCTGAAGTTTCTCGTTGCTAAGTCAATGCTAAGTAGAGCTCGAGTCTTTTTCCAGCTGATGAATTTCCTTATCCCTAACAAGTTTCACCAGTCAATGGCGTCACTGACAACTTCTTGCAATAGAAAAGAGTCAACACATTTTGCTATTTTCATAAGAAAATAGATCACTTGTTTAATTCTCATGTGACAGCTCAGTCTGGCGTGTATCTGAGTGCTCACTGTTTAATAAACTGCCATTGAAACAGTGTTCACTTGAGTTGAAAGTGATTTGTGCTCCTCACAAGTGTTCCATTTTCATTTTAAATGCGTATCAATATCACTTCCACTTGGCTCCAAACTGTTTCACCTAAGTTTGTTTAAAAGGCAAGTAAAAAAGCCATTATACTTCACCATTTACTACCTGCTTTTCAAGCAGAATTGACTCCAACACGATTCAGGTTCTGGATTTACAGTGAACTTTGCTGCTTTCTCTGCCTCCTGAGCTTTAACATCAGAGATTAGACCTTGCAGAAGCCTCTGCTCTCCTCCTTGAGAGCGTTGAGTGATTCTTGGGTTTGAATAGGAAATTGCAATTAGTAAAAAGGGGGGGGGGTGAAATCAATAGCAGCATATTTCATAGTCATAAAATAAATGAACACTTGCTCTGTTTATATTACCCATATAATAGAGCAGGAAGTAAAGATCAAGGCCATGTTTATAAAGGACTTGGCAAGTTGTGTGCTTGGAGGAAGAGAATGGGCTCATGCTTAAAGTGTTTCAAGTATGAGGTTTGGATTTTAGGTGGTGCAACCCAGGGTATCTCCTTTTAATCCAGTGCAAGGGCTGTGATTTACATCAGTGGAGAAGCTGGTTTGAGGGTTTCAAGGGAGAACAGATATGGTAAAGCAAAGTATTTTTTTCCTACTGAAAAGCATTCACTTGTGTTTGCTCTCTAAGTTTTGGGAATAAAGCAGAGGATCAGGATCCCAACTCCCAGCTTCTTTCACTGCATAAAGCTGCGAATGATGTTCAGAGCTGGGTCCTGCCCTGGACAAGGAGGCAAGTACCAGACTGGGGCTGCCCACTGAGCTCTGCCTTCAGGTACTGGCATCTCCCTGAGCCCTACAATTCCCAAACTATTTGCAAGCTACACCCCCCCCTCCCCAATACACCTGATCAATGAAAGGGAAACTGAGGCACGGACAGATGGGATAATTCATCTTGTAGTCAGAGTTGTAGTGAGCTACACCACAACCTCCATCCTCACAACACCCCTATGGAGAGCTGAGATAACTCACAAATGCCACCCTCACCCCGAGAGAGGAACTGAAGCACAGAGGGACGAGACAGCAACATGGGGATACCAGGCACCCACAGCCCTCATCCACCACCCCAGGGACACCTCAGCTCCCAAAGCACCATCAGTCCTGGGGAGTTATCCCACTGGGGACTGAATGACCTCAGTTAGGTATCTAACACCCTTGGGCTCTAGCTGCCCCCAGGGAAGCAGCTACAAAAGCTGGAGGGAGAGCAAAACCTCAGCAGGGCAAAATCTATGCTCATGATGCTGTGTCCATTGACTTGAGAGGCAGCTTCAAGCAAGAGGATGTGAAAAGTCCTGATTGAAAGGACAGAACTAGCTATGATGCTTCCTTAGCTGCTGAGTCAGCTGGATACAAGTCCCAAGGGGGCTGTGGGACCCATAGGTCCCACCCAGCAGATGGAGTGATGGATCCCTCTGCTTTGCTGAGCTCTGTGCAGAGCCCAGCATCAATATTCAGGTTACATTAATCTCTTTTCCCTGCCCTAGGTTTAGCTGCTCCACTACAGAGAGTTAATCAGGTCCCGTGCCTGTTACTGGGTGAGGTGGCGATGAAGAGCACTGGCTTTCCTGCTCTTCATGGACCATGGGTAGCACTGATGCTGAAAGGGGACATTGTGTTGGCCATCACAGCTCCCCAGTGGGCTCTGTGCCTGCTCGTCCTCCTCTGCACTCAGGGAGCTGCATCCTTTCACCGCAGCAAACTTGCCAGAACTTCAGAGCACGACCCATCGGGCACCCCCAAATGAGCACCCGGTGATACAGGCACCATAGCAGGGCCAGGAGCTGAGGGCACAGCTCCTGAGGGAGGTGAATCAGTCCTGGGGCATCACCCAGGACCATCAACCGTGTAGTTAAGACCTGGTCCTGTTCCAGGTCCCTGCACAGCACTGGCATCCCGGGAAGTCAGTGGGACTTAATGCTTCAGACTGACATGCTCCTTGAGGGGATCAAACCTCACTCACGTGCGACAGTATCACCAGTTCCCAATGGAATTGGAAATGGAAGGGGATTGGGACCACTGAGGCATATCCAGGGGCCCTTCCCCAAACTGGGACAAAGGGAGGCTGGGAGAAAGGATGGTGAAGCTGTTTGGAGACCATTGTGCCACAATTCCAGCCTGTTTGAAGCAGAGCTGCTTCCTCCTTCGCCTGGCCTCTGTTAATGAAGCTGCTGAGTGCAGAAAGAATTAATTAAACCAATTATTGTGCTGCTATTTTATTCGTTTGCTATTTACTTTGATTGATTATATGGCTCTGATTAATAAATATTGAGCAAGTGTTAATTAATTGAGTTAATTCATTGCTGGTGTGTTCCCCTACCAGTTATCTCCCTGCAATGAGTTGTGTCCTGAAGGTTTGTCCCACTGAGCAGGTCCCCAGGGGCTCAGCCATGGGCAGTGGGGCTGGGATAGGGGGACAGGCTCACTTACCAAAAGGCAGGATGAAGAAGAAGGGGAACCAGCAGAGGATGAAAACACCCACGACGATGGCGAGAGTCTTGGCTGCTTTCTTCTCACGGGAGAACTTGAGGAGCCGGACAGAGAGGGAGCTCCTCAAGTTGTGCCCCTTGCTCCGGGTGCTTGAGAGAGGCTCCTCCAGCACGCTGCGGCAGTGGATGCGCAGTACCACCTCCATGGATTTATTCCTCTCCTTCTTGACCCCTGCTTCCAAGCTCCGGGTGGTCCGCCTGGCCACCACGTAGATCCTGAAGTACATCACCAGGATGACCATGAGGGGCAAGTAGAAGGAGAAGAGGGATGAGAACAGGGCATAGCCCGGCTCCTCCGTGATGCTACAGATGCTCTCATCCGGCGGTGGTGGCTCCTTCCATCCCAGCAGTGGCCCGATGGAGATGACCATGGAGGAGAGCCAGACCACCACGAGGATGACCCCCGCCTTCTTCTCGGTCATGATTGTGGGGTACTTGAGGGAGTACTTGACACCGATGTACCTGTCCACGGAGATGATGCACAGGCTCATGATAGAGGCGGAGCAGCACAGCACATCCACCGCTGCCCAGATGTTGCAGAAGATGCGTCCAAACACCCAGAAACCCAACACCTCCAAAGTGGCCGAGAAGGGCAGCACGGTGGTGCTGAGCAGCAGGTCGGCGATGGCCAGGTTGACGATGAAGTAGTTGGTGACCGTCTGCAGGTGCCGGTTACAAGCCACCGAGAGGATGACGAGGATGTTCCCCACGATGGCCGAGAGGATGAAGACAGCCAAGAAGACCCCGACGCCCACCGCCTGCACGTCCAAGGCGAAAGTCAACGTGGTGCCGTTGCCCTCGGGGGTCTCCTCCGCTTGCAGCCCCCAGGACCGGTTGGCACCGCTCTGGCTGCCCTGTCCCGTCCTGTTCCCACTCAAGCTGCCATTGCTCAGCTCGGGGAAAGTCATTGTAGAAAACGTCCGGGCTCCATGGAGAGCGAGGAGAAAGCGATGCCGAGGCGCAGCCCCCCCGGCATGATCCCCGCAGCCCCCTCCGAGACTCGCTCAGCACCCTCGGCGGGGCAAGGCTTGGTCCCCGCAGCCGGGATGGAGGGATGGAGGGAAGCGGGATGCGCTGCTCCGAGCCTCCCACCCCTGCCCAGCTCCAGCTCCCCTCCGCCGGCTCCGGCCGCAGCTCAGCCCCGCCGCCGGCCCGCCCGGGGGGGCAGCGAGCTCCGTGCCCCCCCGCTGCCCTCGCATGCTCCGGGGGGCTGCGCCCTGCGGCTCCGCTGCTCTGCGCGTTCAATGGGGAGAGCTCCGGGAGCGGCGAGGGGACGGGCCGGTTTGGGGGGGGGGGGGGGAAGGACGGGAGCCCCGCGTCAGGTGCCGGAGGAGGAGGAGGAAGAAGAAGAGGAGGAGGAGGAAGAAGAGAGGGCGGTAGCAGCGCTGCTCTGCGGGACGAGGCGAGCCCGGGGCAGGGTGAAGCCGGCAGCAGCGCAGACCCAGAGTGGGGGGGCGTAAAGCGAGGTGGCGAGGTGGTGGGAGGAGCAGGAAGGCACTTGGGGGGCAGGACCCATTCGTGGGGGGTAGGGACCACTGTGAAAGGGGCAGGAGCGCACGGGAGAGGGGAAGGAACGCGCCAGGAGGGGGATGGGGATGCACTTGTGGGTTAGACACCCATCCCATAGGAGAAGGGACCCCAGGCACCCATTCCTCGGGGGGGGGGGGGGGGTCAGGCAGCACGGGGGTGCAGACACGTCGGGGGGAGGCTGGGGGTACCGCTAGAGCCATCCGCTGTCGCCAGGGGGCAGCAGAGCGCAGGGTTTGCCCTGTGGGTCCCGGTCCCTCCCTGTTCCGGGGGTCCTGGCGCTGCGCTGAAGCGGGGCTCACCTTCGCATGAAGACCACCCCTGCCCTGGACCACGGCTGCAGCATCCCTCCAGGAGGATGCTCTGCAAGGCTGGAAAGTCCCCCCAGACACAGCATCCCATCAGGAGGTTGCATTTCAGGGACAGAAGTTCCCCCCAGACACAGCATCCCACAGGAAGATGCTCTGCAAGGCTGGAAAGTCCCCCCAGACACAGTATCCCACCAGGAGGATGCTTTTCAGGGACAGAAGGTCCCCTCAGCCCCAGCATCCCATTAGGAGAATGCCCTGAAAGGCTGGAATGTGTCCCCCTCCCCAGAAATAGTATCCCACCAGGAGGATGCTCTGCAAGATTGGCATGTGCCCCTAGCCCCATGATCCCGTTAGGAGGGGTGCTCTGCTGGGCTGGCAGGTCTCCTTTCTTGCCTTGCATCCAGGGCTTTCAGCAAGCATCCTTTTCCTGCTAACCCTGGTCCTCTCATCCTTCCACTCCAGCCCAGGCACCCCACTGGGGCTGCAAACAGAGCCTGCCCATCGCTGGTTCCCCCCAAAAGCAGAAGGGACAATCAGCATCCTGCATTCAGGCCCAGTGTGTGATCAGCAGCTCCCATGGCTGTGACTTAACCCTGCTGCAACACTGGGAAGCAGCAGCTTGTGTTTAAAACGTATAGGCACAGATTTCTGGCTAATTTAAACAGGGTTGTTTTGTTTTCCCACTGATAAAAGCAGATCCTGTTTACACTGGTTTCCTCCCCCTGGCCCTGCTCTCCTGCCTCCATACATTGCGATGGGGACTGACCCCAGTGTTGAACGGGGGCTCTCCCTCGGCTCCTTTCTACTGTACACAGGAAATACTTCCTTGGAGTGTGTTTGTCCATAATTTGTCAACTTTTCTCTCTTCAAAATATGATTTTAAACGGAAGTCCAAGTGGACAGCAAAGTGATTCAAATCACTGCTGCTCTGTCAGAGACCTGTTCATTCACTGGCTATGAGAGTAAAGATACAATAGCATATTTATTCCCTCATTTTCCTTGACAATCATTGCAGGAAATGACACATTTTTGATCCTCCTTAGTTCTTTCATGCATTTTCTCTTCCTTTAGATTTCACCCTCCTTCCTGGAGCTGCGGTTTTGACAAACATGATAGAGCAACTGGAAAATACAAGCAAAAAGGAACAAATACTTTGCAAGGAATAGCTCAAAAGGATGGTTTTGCTTAAAAAAAAAAACCCTTTAATTTCTTTTTTTTAGTGTGAATTAAAGCTCAAACAAGCAACACTTGAGGTCAAATTAGTCATTTTTCCTCTGTTTTGATGAAAACATGTCAACTCCCAAAATGAAGTATCTCTTCTTACTGGGATGCTAAACGCAGCATGGGATGATCTCAACCCATGGAATTTTGTAGCTGTATCTTTGCAGCTATGCAGATTGCTGTCTAGATAAATATATCCCATCTAATCTATCCAGTGACATGTAGAGATAAGGAAAACATGTGCCTTTCTCCAAAGTTAAGGCTGGACTGAACTTCTCACGTACAGTGGGATTTTAACCACCTTCTTGGTCAGAAAAGAGAGGTTTCTCCTAAATGACACAATAGGAAATGCCATTAGGGTGAAGATTGAATCTGCCCTGCATCTTGCCCTCTTTGGGTGAGCTCTTCTTTCCTGACCTCATTGAAGACAACTTGCCCATGTTTCTGAGAGGGTTGGGCTGGTGTGGGCTACAGGGTTTGCATGGGATGCAGGTATGGCATCGTCATCTCATGTACCCCGTACATGCATCTCATGTATGTGGGGGTAAGATTGCCACCGTGAATGCTTCTAATGGACCCCTCCCATCCATGCATAAAACCTCTGAGGTTGCATGGGTGCCTTTCCCCTCCACGCCAGGGCAAGAGAGAGCACGTCCCATGTCATCACTGCAGCTCAGCTTGCGAATATCAACTCATTAAGATCCAGTTACCTCATTGCTTTCCATCTGTCTCCTGTTTCAGTCTAAACCAGGGCTATTATGGTTAATTGAAACTAATGAGGAACAGGTTTATACTAATGCACTTAACCCCAAATAGAAGTGTTTGGGTAGGTCTGCACGGAGGAACTGAAGGGCTTGAAGTAAATACGCATGGAGATCTACAAGCCCATGGGACTTTGACAATCCTTTCACATGGAGAAGATGAGGGGTGATGGGCACAAGTTACTCCTGGGGGGGATTCCAACTGGACACAAGAGGAAAATGTTTTCCAATCTCCACAGCGAAAGGGTGGATGCCCCCGTGTTGGGCACTGTTAAGACTGGGCTGGACAGGGTGCTGGGCCATGTAGCCTAGGTCATTCTTTGCCTAGAAAGGCCGGACAAGATGATCCTAAAGGTCCTTTCCAACCTGAGCTTTTGGGTTTCTATGAGTCAATCTGTGGGCTTGAGGTGGAAGGAGGTACAGCTCTTTCCTCCCTATTTTTACCTTTTGGGCAGAGGTTATCCTAGGGCTTGGGTACTGCCGTATAGTGATGGCAGCAGGGCTCTTTAACACCTGATGAACAGTGTTTGTCATTGTGGTTATAGGAGGAGTGGTGAAGTGTGTCTGAGTTGTTCTCCTTTGCTGGTGTTGTGATGATGCTATTTTGACTTTGGTGAAGGGAATTCTTTGGTGTAAATGAGCTTTGTGATGAATGATGAATGTGTGCTTTAATGGTATTGTTGTAGTGTTGTGATTTTATTTGGAGTCTAGGAAAAAACAGGCTGCACTGAATGCTTATTTCTTAACTAATGAGGTGAGAAGGATAAGAAATAGCTTATTTTAGCTGATGGGTAAAGGGGGGAAGGGAAGGAAAGAAAGAAAAGAATGGCATTAAACAAGGTGGCAAAGCATCTTTCAGGCCATCAGCAATCAGTACCTATTGATATGCATGGGCTATGGGCAGTTCAGGAGGAGCAAACCTCCACCCCAGACCTCAGACACAGCCTAGCACAGTGGGCAGGAGCCAAGGAAAGAGGCTCTATTTTCTGTGTGCAAGGAGAATTGCTCTGAGTGCCATGCTGATATCTGGGAAGCCAGTGCAGGTGGGATGAGCAGATAGAACAAACAGATAAGTGTGGCTTATTGGGCTGGTTGGACATGTTTGTTATTTCAGTGGGATTGTTGATGTGTTCAAAATGAAGCATTCCTCAGGGATGTTCTTTTTTTTTGTGTGTCTTTAACACTGCTAAGAGCCATACAATAAAATGCTTCAATACCAAGAACATTTTAGATCAAAACACTTTTTAGCATGGGGGTGAATGAACAAAACATAATGCAGATTACTTGAGAAATCACTAACAGATTTAGCAATTAGCAGAACAATTGCTAATGACGTGGAAAAAGAGCAGCCACTGATGTATAGAATAAAATAGAATGAATAATAGCATGAAAGATAAATCACAGCAGAGCTAAGTAAATAAAAATGCTACAAAAGGTCAAAATTGCAATGAAGAGTTTCTCTGTTATCACAGAAAACTGGTTCTGTTGGCAGTTTGGTTTCTTTGAGAGATTTCACTTCCTGAGACATCAGCATTCATTTGCCATTACTCCATTTTTAACTACCAGTTAGAAATTGAGACCATCGTCTGCCTCAAACGGTGGGTATGATTTGAGCCCTGAATCAAAGCCCTTCTGATGAGGAATGTCTCTCATGGTTGACCCTTCTGCTCATAAATGAAAGTCCGGAGAAGCAGCTTTTGGAAAAGGATACCAGACTTGGTGTTGGCCTGCAAAGAAGCTGTCGTGATGTCTTTCCATCCTAGCAGTCGTAAGATAACAATAAAGCTTGGGAAGGTCATAGTCCCAAGAGCTACTGTTTAAATGAACAATGGATATGGGAGCTGGGTAGAGCAATGGAGATGTCAGGAGCACTAGGAGAAGGGGAGGGTCTGCAAAGAGGATCCTGGGTGCTTGGCTTTAGGACATCCCTTTGGCAATGCATTTCTGGGTCTTTTTGCTTGAATCCTCATGTGGTTCAGCTTGGCTTCTGCAAATCCCCCCATTAAACCAGCAAGGGGTGTCCCTATGAGTGATGTTAACAGTTCCCAAGTCTGGGAGTATAATTTCCAACTATAATACCAGAAGTTTTTAGAAGAAGAGGAGAATAATGCCTCTCTGGCAATCAGGCAGGGTATGAGGGTCTTTGGGCTTGGAGACCACATAGTGTCCAACACTGGGCATGTGTGTGAAGGCACCTCCAAGCTTGGTCCTGCTATAGACCTGTCCATGTGTTATCCTGGACACGAAGGCATGGATATGGGCAAAGGGGAGGTCAGGGGAGGAGGAAGGTGAAAGTGGTGTGGCCACAAGGAAAGAAGAGTGTAAGGCAGAGGGTGGACATGGATTGCTTGGTTGGTAGAGGTGAGTTGATCTGTGCGTGTTAGTCCAGGCCAGGAGTGTGCTTTAGAAACAAGGTAATAATCTTGAGTCTAATAAAACACCAACAGCCTAAAACCTTTTGGTAATTCAGTTTGCATAATAATAAATAAATTATCAATCTAAATCTAAGTGTAAATATAGATAAAA